CCCTCTCCTGCAGGCACCGCCCCCCCCGCCCCCCACAGCTCCCATTGGCCGGGAACGGGGAATTGCAGCCAATGGGAGCTTTGGGAGTGGTACCAACAGGTGAGGGCAGCGCGCGGCAAAGTCGCCTATCCCACCCCACCCCCAGGAGCCACTGCCGGACATATTGGCCACTTCCAGGAGCAGCGTGGGGCCAGGCCAGGCAGGGAGTCTGCCTTAGCCCCGCTGCACGCCACTGCCACCCCAGAGCTGCTCGAGGTAAGCAGCGCCAGGCTGGAGCCCACACCCCAAACTCCTCCTGCACCCCAACACCCTGCCCTGAGCCCCCTAATGCCCTGCCAGGAGCCCCCTGACACACCCTTCCTGCACCCCAACCCCTTGCCCTGAGCCCCCTCCTGCACTTCATACCCTCTCCTGCACCCCAATCCCCTGTCCTGATCCCCCTCCTGCATGCCGTACCCCCTCCTGCACCCCAATCCCCTGTCCTGATCCCCCTCCTGCATGCCGTACCCCCTCCTGCACCCCAACCCCCTGCCCTGAGCCTCCTGCCACACCCTGCACCCCTCCTGCACCCCAACCCCCGCCCCAGCCCTACATTCAATTTTCCCACACAGATGTGGGCCTCGGGCCAAAAAGTTTTCCTACCCCTGTTCTACAGGTTTTTCCTTATACTTATGGTAACGTGATGTCTGATTCTTCTTTCTGGAAAGATATGCTGCAATGGTTTGAGGAATCTATATACAATTTACAGACAGTTCATTCAAACTGGAATTCATATTTTTATGTCTTAAGTTATGACTGTCTTTTCTAGTAGTGGGCTGGGGTTGGTTTCTTTCAAGGAAGTTTCAGACAAACTGATAGAAGCAAAGCAAAGCAATTTCATTTTTGACTATATGAGGCAAAAGCCAATACTGTGATACAAATGGAACCAATTTCAGTGATTTGTCTCTTCAGTACATTTTTACTAAATTTGTGCACTTTCGTGAAATTATGAATAGAGCACACTTAGTGTTTGATTTCTATAACTGTGAATACATATAATAAATTCACAGCAGTTGGCCCCTTTCATAACTATACTTGCCCTTTGCTTATGGTTAAGAAATACATAGGGACCTTTGAACATATTGCCGAGTGGAAACAAGAGAGCCTAAATATGATTTTCAATAGGAATGGTCCATATCACTTGATTAGCTACGCTTGGTTTTAAAAATCAGCCTCTTTCTATTTTATAATTTCCAGGAATTCTGCTTATGTAACTATGTTACCTGAACTAAATATATTTATCTACCATCTTGCATTAGATTTTCTATGGTGGTCAAGAAATAAAGAAATCCAGTATAGCATTACCAACCCCTTTAGCCATCCAAAAGCTGTTTCTTGTTAACTTGTTCCCAGTATCTCTCAATGGTTTCATTATATTGCATCCATTTGCAATTTATTCAAATGTATACACAATCTGGATCCCAATTTTGAAGCCCTGGTCCTTCAACAGAGAAGAACAAACAAACAAAAAACCCAGACAAGTTAAAATAGCATAATCTTACCATTGAAGGCCAATTATTTTAAAGAGGAATCTCTTTTCTCATTCCACTCCTGCCTACTAGTCTGACATGCTGTTGGGGTAGGATCCACAAAGGGACTTGGGTGTTGCAATATCAAGTGTCACAATGCCTACATTTAGGTGCCTAGAAAAAAAAAAATCACAGGAAGAATCACTGCCTATACAATGAATGGGGAGAGATAAGCACCTTAGAATGTGATCCATAAAAAACAGCGTGCCCAATGATTATTTTAAGTATTTATCCACTCTGTACCAGAAAGCAAAAATGCCTCTGTAGTTCAGTGGTTAGGGCACTCACCCACTCGGGAGGTGGGAGACCCCAGGTCCAGTCCCTCTTTCATTACTTATCCACATCAGAATATCCCATAGCTCAGTGGTTAGAGCACTCTCCCGAAGGTGGGAGACCCTCTTTAAATCCTTAGTCCGCCTCTGGCAGGCACGTGTTCTCATCACCATCTCCTCCTCCTCAGTTCTGAATGGGACCCAATCCAGTAGGTGTGCTCCGAGGCTGCCTACCAGATTGGGCCCACGTATGACTTAGGCGGCTGAAAGCCTATCTTCCCCCAGTTCATGAATCTCTCTGGGAGGCAGCAGTGCACATGCCCCAGGTGCTAAAACTTAGGTGCTTAGGGAACTTTTACAATGGAGAGTTAGGCACCAAGTGAGCTTAGGCACCTTCAGAGTTGGGGCACACAAGCAGGAGTTTTGAGGATTGCAGTAGTGCTGCGTATGGGGATGTAGGCTCCTAACTCTGGAGGTTACATGCCTTAGGCTATGTCTACACAGGGATAAAAAACCCACGACTGGCCCCGGTCAGCTGATTCAGGCTTGTGGGGCTGAAAAATTGCGGTGTAGATGTTCGGGCTTGGGCTGGAGCCTGAGCCCTGGGACCCTTCAAGGGTGGAGGGTCCCAGAGTCTGGGCTTCAGCCTGAGCCCAAATATCTGCACAGCAATTTTTCAGCCTCACAAGCCCGACTCAGTTGACCTGAATCAGCCATGACCGTGCCACAGGTCTTTTATCCTTGTGTTGAGATAGCCTAAGTGGCTTTGTGAATTGCACCCTTGGTAACTTCATTATCATGTCAGACTAGAGCAATAGAATGATACTTGAAGTTTACATTTTGAGAAAAAATTAGAGTCTCACAATAATGACAGATTGGTCGATGCACAAATTATGTGTCTGATTCTCTCTCTCTCTCAGTTACATCAGTGTAATTTACCAGGAGTAAATCCACTGAATTCAGCTGCATTTCAGCAGCATGGGTAGAGTAACTGGCGCTTAATATTCTGCATTGTGAAGCTGACTAAAGTTAACTAAATGTAAAAGCCACATTCTGGTCTCAGTTATACCACCATAAATCTTAGGCTATGTCTGCACTTACAGTGGTTTGCAGAGTACCTACATTGCATGCCCAGCTAGCATAGGTATAAACATCAGTGTAGACAGTGAGGCACTGCTTAGGCAAGTAGAGAACAGACACATCAGTACCTTAGTGTGCACCCTACATAGCTCACAACATGCCCAAGCAGTGCCCCTCATGTCTACACTGCTGATTTTACCAGCGTAGCCTCCCCCCAGCCAGAGCCTTTCACTGCTGGTGTGTAGCCACATGCTGCAGTGTGGATGCAGCCTGTTTTTCACTGTGGCATGTAGCCGCACGTACCCGACATGCCGCCACAAGCATAGACAAGATCTTAGACTAACTTTGTTATCCTGGATTTGTTATTTGAATTACTGTAGGAGCCCCAATCCTGAACAAAGACCCCATTGTGCTAGGTGCTGTATAAACTCAGAACAAAAAAGACTGTCTCTACCTCAGAGAGCTTACAATTTAAGTACTGACAGAACAGAAATAGTCTAAAGCAGGGATTGGCAACCTTTGGCATGCGGCCCACCAGGGTAAGCCCCCTGGCGGGCTGGGCCGGTTTTTTTTTCTTGCTGCGTCCCCAGGTTCGGCCGACTGCAGCTCCCACTGGCTGCGGTTCGCCGCTCCAGGCCAATGGGGGCTGCGGGAAACGGCGGTCAGCACATCCAAACCTGCAGACGCAGCAAGTAAACAAACTGGCCCACCAAAGGTTGCCAATCCCTGGTCTAAAGCCTCTGAATTCAACTCCTCTGAAATGATCTGCACACACATCCACGAGAATGATGATAATAAAGCTAGTTTTACTTCATTCTTACATCACCATCATTTTTAGATCACAGTTTAACTCTCACCAAGCTTCTTTGCTATGGCAGTTACCTTAGGATTTAAACACACCAAGGATGTCCATACATTAAATAACTGATCGTTTTCCTGCTCTAACTTTTTCCATTAGTAGACACAGATTTTAATGCATTTAAGATATAGAATAGGTCATTTTTTCCCCCATTTAACTGCTACTGTACTTCACGGCAGATCATTTAAATAGATGCCTATATGGAAAACTATTACATTTTGCATGTGTTAGCCCTTTTCTTCATAAGATTTATTGCAAATATATAATGACTTATTTGAGGAATTCCAGACGTGTATAAGCTACAAAAGGTCTCAAAGATTCAGAGTGAGGTAAATAGTAAGTCATAATATGTTTAGCAAATGACAATATAAAACACAGGAAAACAGAGAAAGGAAAAATGTTCCCTGGCTACAAAGTTATTAATATTGAAAGTCAGGGAACAGTTCTGAAAGTATACTTTTTTAGCTTTCCCAGTTACAAATAAATCAGAACTACACATATATAGTATATGACACTCCTGGGGGAATTCTGCACCAAAAGAATCCAAAATTCTGCAATTTTTTTTCTCTTTTTTTGTCCAGTAATGCAATACAATCGCACCGGTTTCATTTATTTTGATAATTTATTTAAACTACCATATGGTGGACAGGGGGGGAATCACAATAACTTTCATACGTTTAGGAAATGGTGAAGTTAAATTACAAATCCTTGGTAATCAATAACTCTGCGTTCCAGTTGTAATCCTGGATTTTCGTTTAAATTACATTACTTTTATTTTGGTGTTTGGTGTTCTGTAAAGTAGAATGTCGCTTTAAATTGCTCAGAGTTTCACACATGAAAGTCAGACAGTTTTGCTAATCATTGTCCTGCATTTTTTTTTTAAATGGATAAGTAAAATAGATCCTGGGCTGTAATCTTACCCCATTCATTGTGCCTCTCTGGCACAAGAAAAAAAGCGAGAAAAGCCGATATAGACCTTCCTAGCTGAGGAGTCTGTTACTGTCATTTACAATAAGGCTCCTTTACGCCACTCTGGCAAAGTAAAGGATCCATAATTGACTAAGAATGGGAACAATTAACTAACAATGGGAACATTAGCCGCCTGCCTGCTTAGTTGTTACATTTCTGCCCTGCCTCAGGACAGAGCCTGCTTCACAGGCCCTACAACACCAAGCCCTGGACACAGCAACAAGGTGAGTCTCTCTCACTTGGTTTTGGGTTTTTTTTCCGGAACACTTCAGGAATTTGCGAGTCATCCTTGCGCAGGGGCCATGCTAATCTTCTCTGTATCGATCCAATTTTAGTATATTGTGAGCAGGCAGGCACCCAACCCCACCCCCTTAACATCTTTCCATGGACACACCTTCTCATGCCCCCCCAGTGATCTGCTTTCTAAAGCCGGCTGCTAGGGAAGGGGTGTGTGCCCCCAGATATTTCTTGGCTCCCCCATTTTTCTGCAGGGTAGCCAAGAAATCTGTGGAAGATATGAACTGAGGCACATATTCTCCAGTAGTAGGATTCTATCTAGCAAGTTTGTTTCCTAAAGGCATTCCCCTTGGCTTCCATCCCATCCCCTCAGCCTACATCTTAAGACAATTTGTTTATGGACATGCAGACTCCTACATGCCTATTAGGAATTACAGCCTGTTTGGGGGCTCTCAGACTGCAAACAGTTACAACCACAAATATCCTTATTACGCTCAGTCAGACTACTTTGTGCATGAAGTTACTCACACAGAAGAGTGTTTTCAGTATCAGGACCTTAGCAATGAAATGGAACAAAGAAATTCCACACAAGGAAAGAATCCAGTTATTACACTGAGGCCTGAGAAAACCTACCCTTGTTTTTGGGGTAGAACCAGGGACTTGCATAGCCTTATCCTTAAAAATAGCTGTTCCTTCCCTTCCCATTTATATATAGGAATGAGAGGTAGATTCAGAGAGGCACTTTGCCCAGAACACACCTGAGCCTGCTTGTGCTTGCAGAGTTGTTATAAAAGATCAGTTAGCAAAAAAACATTATTGTTCTTTGTGTGTTATGTTTATTTCAGTGCAGTTGATATAATGGAGTTGAAAATGTTGCTTTGCAAAGAAAGATTGGGCTTAATTGAGACCTCCTGAGAAAACAGAATGCGGCAGGATAGGCTGACTGAATAAATACTGAGCACCACATTTTAAAATCTGAGACTCATAAGTATACCTGCAAAAATACATATGTCCCTGTTGCACTCCAGGAGCTCTCATTTGCATGCCCAGGGCCTGATTCTTCTTTCACTCATGTAAATCAGGAATAACTCTCCTGAAGTCAACGTAGTTACATAGGTAGAGAATCACTGCAAGCAAAAGGAGAACAAGTACACTGATGTGAACACAAATAAGGTAACTGCATGCAAAAGGGAGTGTATAAATCCAGTTCTGCAATGGGTTCCATGTGGGCGGAGCACTTTGCAAAATCAGGAGCCAAATACCGGTAGTTGCAGGCACCCACGCTATGCTCACTGTTGACTATGTGAGCCTGTGCTTAGAAAGGTTAACAGGAGTAATGAATGTTGTACATTTTTGCAAGACAAGGAAGGATGTTGTATATGTCTGGGTGTGACAGAAAGCCACTGAGTCAATCATCATCAAAAAATAAAAGCAATAAAAATGTTCATAAACCTAATTTTTGCAACTGTCAGGTCATTAAACCAGATATTCATCTTTTATTCATAATCAAATAGATGTTATTACAACAATTTACTATTCACCATGAATAATACATAAATGAGATACGTAACTATTCAAACTGTATTAAAAATTGCCCAATGTTCATGCTATAATATATTTTGAATGCTGTGTCGTGCTTTTTAAAGGTCATAAGATTGACTAATTTTGTCATTAAAAATAAATCCCATTCATTCTGTACATTATGTGCAATACAATGTCAGAAATATCATTGTCAATATGCAAAATTATTATTTGTTCCACAGTTGCAATCCTGCTCTTACTGTGTGTTCTTCTAATCACAGGCACCCAGTCCTGCACAGACTTATGTACTTGAGTTACTTTACCAACATACAGACGCCCATTGATTTCAGTTGGCCTATGCTAATGAGGGAAACTAAGCATGCATTTGGTGACTTGGAACCTTGGTTGGTTTTAAAACACTGGCAATTTAAAATAATGCTTTTTTAAAGTCACCTGGTCCATCTCCCTGCTAATGCAGGATTGTTCTTTACTGTGCTTTGTCCAGTTTACTTTTCAATATGCTAAACCATGAATTTCTACCACTTCCTGGGGGGCAGAAAGGAAAGGTAATACATCACTATTGATGCATCTTTTGTAGGTATTCAGAAGTTCCCCATCACCATAGTATCTGAAAGTTTTCTATATATATATAAAAAGAGAGAGATTGTTATTATTTTTCATTCTCTTTTTTCTGTACCCTGTAGGAGAAATAGAGTTATTGATTTATAAGGTTTTGTTTGTTTGGGGGGGGGGGGAGGTTGTTCATTTGTTTATATGTGTGAGAGTGTGTGTGTGTGGTGTGTGTGTGTGTGAAGAATTCACTGAGGGAACACTAATTCTTTTGTGCCTTAAATGGCTCTGAAATATTCTTACTTGGTTCTCTCCCCTTTTTATTGTTTTTATTTTTATTTCCAGGAAATATGTTTGAGGGTGGCTTTTTGTTTTGTTTTTTACACTTGGCTCTCTAAGTAGTCCCTGGAATAATCACATTTGGCCATTTCTTGTTCCTTACATTCTTAATTTCAAAGGAATCATTGCAGAATTCCAGAACCTGGGGGGAAAATACGGACTGGATAGAATCTTGAAGTCAGGAGGTTTTGGATAATAACTAGAGCACTGGCATAGAATCTGTATCTTTCCTATCCTCAATACCCCCATGCTAAAGCTCTAAACCCTATCCCCTTTAGTTTTCATAGTAATTCAATAGGAAGTTGGTTTCATGAGGAAACAAGTTTTCCCCCAAAGGAATATAAACAGACTAGGCCTGAACACATGTGCTACTAATTTGGTCACCTCTACAGCTCTGCCAAAGCAATTCTCTGCTCATTTTCAAACCCTGACCCTCCCCACCATTACTCCACTCCTGTCTCCCCACCCACACAACTCAGCCAATATATCTGAAGTTAAATCGGGACCTATAGCACGTCCTGCTACCTCCATTGTCAGCCTCTCTCACACCAGAGATGAACAATTCTGATTAATTGTGAGGTGAGTTATGCAACAAGCAAATGGCCATTGCCGGTGCAAATCCAGGTCATCGGAAGTGGAAAATTCATGTATTTAACCTACCCAGACCCTTTCAGTATTTTCACATTAAACACCAAAGTTCTTATATTTAAAGCTAATAAAGGTATCAAACAGTGTGAGAAATCATGGCAAACGTTTTGACTTTCAAGCACTATAATAATCAGAAGCACAGCGAATGGATTTGCAAATTTAGAGAGTCAATGAAAAATCATGAACTTCAGTGACATTACGCTTACATGAGATTTCTCCTAATGTTTAAAAAATAAACATCTTCGCTCTTATCTTTGTTAAGCCATTGGAGAGTCTTCAAAGTGCACATGCATTATCACCCCCATATCATGCATGGGGAAACAGCCACGAGAAGGTGAGATTTGTCCCAAGGACACCAAACAGGTGTGCTAGAATTAGAAGCCAGTTCTCCCGGTCCAAGCTCCTATTCCCTGGTCACACTGCCTCCTCCTCACTTCAGGCTGTGATGTTTCTGCCTTTGGGTAGAAGCACTGAAACAGTTTCAACGGGAGAGACTGAGGGAGGCCCCCACCAGAATATCCCATAGCTCAGTGGTAAGAGCACTCTCTACTAGGCTAAAAGTTATAAGGTGGGCCGAACCGCAACCACCACCTCCTCTGGCAAGATTTAGAACGGGACCTGATCTGGCAGACATGCTCAGAAGCTGCCTACCACATTGAGCCCTACACATATTTTAGGCAGAGGAATGCCTATCTTTTTTTCTCTCCTGCTGATAATAGCTCACCTTACCTGATCACTCTCATTACAGTGTGTATAGTAACACCCATTGTTTCATGTTCTCTGCATATATAAAATCGCCCTACTGTATTTTCCACTGCATGCATCCGATGAAGTGAGCTGTAGCTCACGAAAGCTCATGCTCAAATAAATTTGTTAGTCTCTAAGGTGCCACAAGTCCTCCTTTTCTTTTTATCTTCCCCCAGTTTGTGAATCACTCTGGGGCTTCAATGGGAGATAGGCCTCTGGATGCTTACAGGGAGGCAGCCATGTGCATGCCCAGAGGCAGAAACTTAGGCACTGAAGGAACTTCAGTGCTGATACTTTAGGCATGGAGTGAATGTAAGCACCTACAGGGTTCAGTGGGAGTTTGTGGATGGCAGTGGAGTCTAGACCTGAGACTTGGGTCCGAAGTACCTTTATGGATCCCACTCTATATATTCATTGTTGTTGCAATGGTTTCCCCATTCTTTTCACTCCTCCCAGCCTTTATTTTAACACACCAAGTAACTCTTCCCTGCATATGGACCATCTCTTCAGTGGACCAGACTTGTGTTGTGCACCTGTGTGTATTTCCTGGTAGAAAGGAGCTTCAAAGCAGGCAATGCAGTGAAGAGCCTGACTGACAGACACAGAGGAGAACAGACACTTTCAGAACTCAGGGAGTACGTGCACAGCGAAGGCAAATCCTATAGCCCCACGTAAAACGCTGGCCTAGAGCCATCACTGCATTTAAAATAGCTGAAATAAAGACCACGATTACTTACAGGCTCACTACCATGTGCTTTGGCACCATCCCTGCCCCATTGCCAGTCTCAGGTCTTGTGCTTTCTTCATTCAAATTGGCCTGGGGTGTGAGCATTATCACAGGGAGTCAAAACGAGCTGAAAAAGTATTAGCAGGCAGCATGCACAAATATCTAGGTGAATATGGAGACTTTTTTGTCGTCATTGTTTCCCCCCCTTCTTCTAAATCCTCCTATATCATCACTGCCGAAGACAATACTGTTAAGAGCTAACAAGAAGCTATTTATAGTGCATAATAAACCCTTATTGAACCTACAGACACAGGAACCGTACAACATACATTTTTATATTAGCGAGACAAGGTGGATCTTTCATTGGACCAGCTTCTGAGTGGCACAGAGCTCTTCCTCAGGCCCAGGAAAGCAAAATACAAGGTGGAACAGCTAGTTTAGTATAAGTAGTTAGCTCATATTCTAAAGGACCATTCAAGGTGAAGTGACCCATTAACACCCCTGTAGGGGTAGGTCTACACTAGCAGAGTGAAGGTGCCAGCAGTTACTGCGGCGCTCAGAGAGCGCTG